TACTTTGGAAAACACTGGTAGTAGTCTGTATATCCCACTACGGTGTGGTTTGACCAGAAGTGTGAAAGCTCCCACTGTCTGCAAGATAATCCACGTGACTGATGTGTGACACGTGTAACATATTAAATACCATCACTTTATAAGACCCATTTTACCATGAACATCAGAGGATGCTGGCAAAGACAAAAGATAAATGGTGATAAACTGATCTTCAACCAAGTTGTTGCCCTGAAACTTTAAAACAGGGATTTGTGTCTGAGAATTTAGAGTACAGAACAAGCAGCTAAGAAAAAAGTATGACTTACAATATCAGGAAGTTAAGGCGTCGTCAGAACTGGTGTGATGATCAGGACTGCACGTCTGGGGTAACAAAACAGCCTTCTTTGCGTTCTTTGCCTGGACAGTAACATTTATAATGTAAAAGTAGAAAAATAGCTTGCATTTTCCTAAAAAAGTGAAATTTTAATTGTACTATGCACAACAATATTTAATAATAATCAATTACATTCCACACCAGTTAACCGTAACAATGGTATTATATGGTTGACTTGTGTCAAGTATTTAAGCAACTAAAAATAAGTTGCTATGTTGCTAAAATAAGTAAGATTCATGAAAGAGGATACTAACTTATATTTCAGAGGGAAATACTGTACTTTCCACTCCACTAAAATTACATTTATTTGAGAGCTTTGACAGTTACTAGTTACTTTTAAGATGAATATCAGACAATATTTAGACAATGCACAATATAACAACTGAAGTAATGTTGGGATTTTTCATGCAGGACTGCTGTATTGGTACACTTACTTAGGTAAAGGATCTGAATACTTATTCCACCACTCTCTGCATCATACATAATGTTAAGTCCTCTAATGTTACCTCCCAAGAAAGCAGCTGGACGTTTAGCAAGCTAGCAACTTTACCTCAATATCTGAGCTAGCATGACGAGTAACATGTAGGCTAACGTTCCTTTTTTAAATATCCACTTACCAGCACGGCTCTTTTTTGCCTCCACCACGTCGGTCTCTCACATTTTCTTTTGCATGCGCACACTCCTACTTTCCTCCTTGCCGAATTGGAAACGAAACTGTGTCCTGGTAATCTAGCAAACCTACATTCACGTGAGTGAGCTAGGTTAGTGGACGTGGACGCAACGTACCGTCCACCGAGTACCGTCTGCAGCTCTGATTGGCTGGAAGTGAGCAACAAAACTGATACGCTTGATTGGTTGGACTTGCCGCAGATTTATTCAAAACATACAACAATCTCTTACTGTTCAGAAAACTCAAATTTTCTTGTGTGCACCTGTACTTTTGAAGTTTAGTGTTTTGTTTGACATGTTTGTGTGTAATAATCTTATTAAACATTACACGAGTAGCTATTTGTGTACTTAGTTGAAAAAATATAAAAGGGCTTTCAGTGCATTTTTTGCAGTAATAAATGTGCTGAAATAGAAGAATGAATAAGTTAACTTAGAATATACTAAAACTTTAGCATATTAAAATGGTTATTTTAAAAATAGGCTTTCAGTGCATTGTTACACTAATAATTTTGAGCATACATTTTCAAATATACAAAAAAATGTTTAAAAACAAAGTTGAAATAGTACACTTTGGAATTTACATATAACTTTCACTTAAAGTATATTTTTATATAATGTATTTCTTGAAAGTGTACTATAGTACAATTATTTTAAAGTGTGTTCAAAGTTAGTATACTTTTTATACATTTACAGACAGTACAATTCTTTCTTAGTATATTTAAAATGTACTATTTAAACTATTAAGTATTTTTTTTTTCACCTGGGCACACACATATTCATAGTTCCTTAATCTAGTGTTCTTCACTCAAACCTCTTCAGTAAATTAAGCTTATACAGTAAATTAACTGCTGTCATACATCCTGAGAAGCAATTTTGCCTCTTTGTATACGCTATATTAAGCAGTAAGTGGACGAAGCAGTGGGCGATCCAATGCTTCAGATGCTCAGAAAGGGAATACTGGAAGAAGTTTTTTTTTTTTTTTTAAAGATCATCATTAAAAGACCATGAAGATCTAGAATTCTAATGACTATTTTTTGTGATTGCAGGTGTTCACACGTAATGAAACCTTACCTTTAAATGACAACTCACTTTTATGTACACATATCACTTAATTACACCACCTAAAATGATTTGCCTTCATTGCCTTTAGAGTAATGAATTAACTCAATGATGTTCCAGTAGTATTTCACATGCGCCAACTACCCTGCATCTGCAATGTCACCTTTGTGGCAGCAGAGGGCAACACCTAAACACTGAAAGGACCCAGCTTGAACAGCTTGAATCCATGTCCATGCGTGAATCTAACGAGATGGTACTTGTCCACTCAAAAAATTCGCAGAGCTGCAGTTTCACAGTTCAAAAAAATGTCAGTTTTTCACATCAAGGGGAGATGCTCCTTTGTTTCTTACACTTGGCCACTCACTTCACCTCATCACATCAGCAGACTTTCCAGCTCACCCTCGCAGTCTGATGATGTTGTAGTCTAAAGCACATGTAGTCTATGACCTAACTCATTGTAAACGAAGGTTACTGTTATTCTTACACAAAAATTATGTTAGAAATACCGCATATTCTCTACTTAAAGTATTGATCAAAAACAATGTATGTGAACGTACAAATATTTATGAACACCTCTGAAGTGATACAATACTTTTCTGGTATTTAAAACAAATATAAATATATTTTAAATTAGTCAATATTAGGGTAATAGAGAGAGATTGTGGTCATGGCCTATATCACTAAGCGATTTTACACGATAAATTCGGATTTTTTCATAGTCATAATAGCCGTCTAATTTCACTTTAAAACTACACTTAGCCTACAATTGTAAAATCGTTTTAATGACAAAATGGTGAGGGGAAAATGCACACAATAAATATTCAGGTGACTTTCAAAAGTAATGTGACAAGATCATTCTGCAGTCTACCAATCGAAAACACTTATCTGATGTGAAAAACAAAGATTTAAATATTGAATTCCTCATTGTCTCGCGTCAGCGAAATGGTCCACAGTCATAAAATGATGTCAAATGCACCTGCTGAATTTATAAACCTGCATTCTGAATCAAACGGGCTTCAGAATGAATCGCGACGCCCATTGCATGCTGTGTTGTCACTACTGTATGGGATGAATGAACGGTAAAGCCAGAGCTGGCAGTCCTCTCTTGAATGAGGGCTCCATGTCAGATTTTACTTTCAGCCTGTGACGATGGTGTGGAGTGTAACCTATGGTACAGCTCCAGTGCACAAAATAGACTTCATGGTATTGAAGGTTTGAACATAGTCCTGTTCATTCCAATGGCAACAAGTCCTATAATCTAAAAAAGAAGAAAAAAGCAACATATAAAGAGGACTTTTTTTAGACATATTTAAAAGGGAATGATGCCTTTTTTTAAAATAAAAACAACACAATAACATAAACCCATAGAACCTAATCAATAAGGAGGGCACAAATCATACAGCTAATTCAAACAAATAGCCTAATTGAATGATAGTGGGATTTCCCCCTTAATACTGGACTAAAAAACTAGCTATTTTATCGTTAGAGTAATGATATATTTCCATTTGTTGTTAAAAGACCATGAAAGTAACCAAATCTCTGGTGACATTTTACACTTTGAGGGTTGATGCCTAGTCTACTGAAAACGTCATAATTTCAGATTATGTCAAATCCTAGGCAAAGATTTATAACAAAACAAAGCTACAATGTCAAATGTAATTAAACACTGAAAAGTCCACTCCTCACAAATGTGTGAGGAATCCCAAAATAGATGCACATGTGCTGGTCTTAGTGTTGCTCCAGAAACATACATACCACATACACATTCAGTATTCAGTCTCTATATAGTCCTGAGAAGCAATAGCCTAAAGGTTTAGACAGTTTTATAAATTAGTATTGCCTAGGGAGTCCAACAAACCCCCACACTTTTTGCAGACAATCACGGAAACAGAGATCAGTATTCCTATGCTGGAATAATAACACAAAGGTTTGCTGTAATGGTGACTTTAAACACAAATGTGTTAAAGAATATGCACCATGTAATATAAGCTAAACTAATTAAAAGTAGCTAAAAATACACAAGTCACCTTACAAAGTATACCCACAAAGTATTAACTTACAATATCAGTGATTGCCTCACAGTGACTTTAGGGCCACAAGACAGCTGCCCAGTTGGTAACCCACACACCCACATCATTAAGACAGTGAACCACTTACTACAAAGCAATGTCTATTTGAGACCCCTCCATACTAGGTGCCTGTTTGTGAAGTGTAAGCACTCTACACTATCAAACTATTTAGTATTTCACAAACAAAAAAAGATAAGAGAGAAGACAAGAGAGAACTCTGAGCCCTGTTGGGCTCTCCTGTTGCATTTGTTTTGATGATTAAAAAACATGTCAAACTGAATGTGAGAAGAAATGATTCCCTGTTTGCAAAGGGCAACATATGAGTTACAAATTTGCTGAAATTCAGCCCAGGTGAATTTCACCTGGCAACCTCTTGTGGGGGTCCTGACCCTCAGGTTGGGGACCACTGATTGAGGAGATGTAGACTAACTCTAATGAGTGAGAAGAAACAGAGAAAATTGTGAAAGCCATCCTTAGTCTCTACCACCAAATATTGAGACATTGCCTGTGGACTAATAATATGAACCATTATAAAATTGGATCCATCCAGATTCCATCCAGCAGAATAAGTTGGCTCTGCTAGAGGGGATGCTTAGCCTATATGCAGCACTGAAAATTATACAACTTGGAATAACGCTACACCAGCATATCCTGAACGCCAACGGGCACACAGAGACAGTTGGGGGTGTACGGTCTAACCAGCATTACCCTGCCCTGTGCGTCTTTTTGGGGTGTGTGTGGGGGATTTGGGAATCCCTGGGTCCTCATCCACTCCGGGGTTTCCGGACTGCTCCCGGCCACCTTATCCGTAGCACTATGTGTTTCTGAGTGAGAGAAGCCGACTCTTGTTTACAGCAGAGATTCCACGGAGGATCGGGAGACCCACAGCCTGCGTTTACCGAGGGGCGAACCGTAGGATTTCAGCCTCTGGATATAAAGGCCTACACGCGAAGGGAGTTTTGTTCTCTCATTTGTTTTTACGAGCATAAAGGCAAAACAAGAAAACACTCGTAAAGGGCATATATTCTCCCTCCCACCCCAGCCGAGGTCGTCTAGCTGGAGACCGATTCTCTTGCGTGGCACAAGTCTGGTGTTTTCTTTCAGCTGAAAATCTCGACTGACGGCAGAGATAAAGTCCGACCCGAGGAGCTGGAAATTTTGTTTAAAAAACGACTTCTCACTGCTCACTGCCAGGACAGCTTGCTGGGGATCGAGATACTGTGCTGGTTGAATGGCATAGGCAAAAAAGATTTTTCATTCATTTTTCAACCTCCCAGCCACCACCCCTGTGGATCTGGACGTGTTTTCGGCCCCACTCCTCCTCTCAAACACAGTCTTTCACACGTGGATTCTTGCGAGCAACACTGGCGTTAATTTATTATGGTGGCAGAGGCTAGGCCTACTAACAATAACCTTTAGTCTAGTATTTTTTAATTGTTATTACCAGGCCTGTACGCGCGCTGCTGTTTTCAAGAGATGGAGACTGAAGATGGGGATTACCATCATTTATCCAGTAAAATCACTGGCTCGTGTGCCATACCAGCCGACGTCAAAGTATCCTGTGATTGGCAAAAATAGCAGACTGTTTTAGTAATTTTTTTTTACTCTTCAAAGGAATTCCCTGTTATTGACAATTTATACACATTTATTTATATATGAAGCATATTTTAGAGCAAATCGTGGTAGACAAGCAAACCAAGCATTTGCAGGCTACCATAGAATAGCCTTTTTGGGCTACAGACATTTATTTTCCCTTTTTCTTTACAGATAAAGGTTGGTTTTTTTTTTTAGAAGCTGGTGTATTTTATTAAAAATCCTTCCTGCCTTTTTGTTGTTTTTTTCTTTTGAGAGGTGAATGTTGTTAAGGAACATGGGATCTGACACACCGATGTGTAGCCCGACCTTGTTTTGGGGTCTGATGCTGTCAGTCTCCACTATCTGCATCTGGTCCACATATGGAGAAAGTAAGTAGTTTTAAAAAAATATATTTTGTTTAAGTTTATTGGTTAAATAGGAGAAGGCCTTTAATATGCTTTTTTTGTAGCTCAGTCTAAACTCTTGTAAAGCAGCCTTTTTCTGACCCGTGGTAAATAATGTGTTAAAATTTATACATCAGAGGAATATATAATTCTATTAGGACTTAGTTACTCAATGCATCAGCCCTGGTGTGCACATAGCGCACCGATGTGTGCCATTTACTTGTATATTAGCTGAAGACCATGTGGTATAGCTGCACGTAGGTAGATGAACACACTTGAGCAAAATCTGTTTTATTGTGTGCAACATCGCCTCATTTGATGAAGCAGTTTGGTTTATGTAGAAACAGGGAGAGACACAAGGCACATGTCGCCATAATCTTCATGTTAGACAACCAGAAAGCAGAGGATGAACCCAGGGATCAGAGCTGAAGGTTACTACGACCATGTGGCCATTTTGCATTTCGTGGTGTGGCGTTGCTGCGCATGAATAACCTAAATCAGACAAACCATTGCTTCTTAAAAGGCCATTCAGTCATAAAACACACAAGCAGTAGGTAAAACATACACTTCAGCCGTTTATCATTATAAACAGTAACCATGGTGGAAAAACAATTTATTTGTCGGTGGTAATCATTTACAGACCCCATTTTCAACTACAACTACGTAGGCTACTCTGTGTACAGCAATGTCGTGTTAATTAATGCAAGCCTTAAATAAGAGGAACATCTGAGTTTAGACTTGTTTCCAATTCTCAGTCTTTACACCAGGTTATTTCCCACTGATGGAACACTTCAAATTATAGATGGCACTTTGTATAAGAAACATGTAAAAACTTTACAGTTTAGTCTTGACAAAACTTAGATAAACTTATTAGAATAAAAACACCGGAGAAGGTGAGGTTGTTAGTTTTGATATTGAAAGTTTTATTTTCTCTGTTAGGCTTTCCTTTCAAGTGTTTTATATGCTTTAGCGACCAGAAAGAGAGGCTTGAATTAATGATTTGTCATGGAATAAAATGTAGGAACATTTGCCATTGCTGTGATTTCAGTGTTTATTTTTTTTTGTGGTTCAACATTTAAAATGGCCTCATAGATGCTTCAGCGAGCAGACTTTAAATGTTCTCATCTAATCTAAAGTAGTCACAAGTGATCATATATCTAATGTAGCCTACTGTATATAGCAGCCGGAATCAAGGCTGCTTTTTGCCACTGCCAACTGGGAATTAATGAGGGTCATTGGTTCATTGGTCGGTATTTACAGTCTTTCTCTTGATAATGATGTGCAGTATTAGGCTTTTCAGTGGAATCTCTCTAAACGCTATGTTGGGCAAAGATAATACCTAATCTTCTAAAAAAAGTCTTACGGCTATCACTAACTGGATTATAGAGATGATTTAGCCAATTAAGAGATGATTTAGCCAATTCTTCATTTTTGTCTGTGAACTTAATATTTAGCACACATAGTAAAACAATAATGTGATACGTTATGTTAAGTTTCCAAGTTGAAACAGTGACAAGAATGTGGTATATGTAACCAGAAAACGTTGTTCTTTGTTTCTCTGGTTGCATTTCTGTCAGTTTTAGGCTACTTCCATCCTAATATGTGAAAGCCATGATCCCTTTGAAGTATTGAGACCTTTTATGTGTTTTCATTTGACAAGTCACACACCAGAGGTTTATCACTTGCCTGCTGGTCAGTAAACTTGAAGAACTCTCCAGGTGCATCTTTTCCACCATGAGCACAGAGGTTGTGATTGTGTGTCTGTGAAACGTGGGTGGCGTGGCATGACTTGTTTGTGTATATGTGTGTGTATTTAGGGTTTTACGTCACTTTCGTTAGACTAATTTGTCTGCTTCTTGAGAGGATATGTGGCATGGCGGAGACATCTTGACATGGGATGGAGACATGTAAACTCACTTCTATTAGCATTCAAATGGAAGAGAAGACTTCAGTTCAGTCCTATTGACCAGTAGTCCGACCACAGACGTGTGTGTGTGTGTGTGTGTGTGTGTGTGTGTGTGTGTGTGTGTGTGTGTGTGGGGGGGTGTTCTTTGCACCCTCAGACACCCATGAACGCAGCGGGTGGCTGGGAGAAAAGTTGTTGCTCTCAGATCTTGATGCTCTGTGGTGTATGATGCATCAGGCCTTTCAGAACAAAGAGTTCAGAGACAAAGACTGCTGTCAATATCGAGAGATGGGTCTCACCAGTTTATCACTCCGCCGTGATGTTTATTTCACTGTGCTGTGGAGGGAATTTCCAGCTTCTATCATCACTTAGTGGAAAATCACAGATGTCCAAGAACCCCATTAGGGGTCAAAACGTTTTTTATTTTTTTTTGCTCTGTTCATTTTTGATACTCTGTCCACACCAATAAAATGTAATTAAGCTCCCTTTTAACTCTCACCACAGTAAACTTTCCATGCCATGGCTTCCAAGTAGAGAGAGAGAGATAGAGAGAGACTTGGTGTTTGCAAATAACATGCAAAAATACACTTGCAAGAGAAACAGACTTGGTTTTGTTGATTGGAAGAGTAGAGAGTTTGTGACCGGTTTTATTGGCTTTTGCCGTTCACACGGAGCGGTCTCCTGTATAGACCGATGCGCTTAACTTCATCACTTGGCACCACTACTATTAAAGTTATAAATAGATATGTCACTAACAACATTGGCACAGGGGTTGTGTAAGTACAGACACCCTCTGTCCTGTTCCATGAGGGTACACCACTGTTCCAGCTCAGTTATTTATGAAGGGACATGTTGCTCCGGAAAACTTGAATGACGGCTTAAATAATGAAATGCCAGCAAGCATTGTTTTTGACAGGCACCCGTCCTACCTGCTCCCTTTGGGGTATGGCATGTTGCAGTACAGCTCTCCTTCTCGTGATGAGGCAAGTGGCTCAGATAAAACTGCTGTCACTCAACTCCAAGGTGCCCCACTCCATCTTGTGACTGGGGCTCCCCTCCCTCCACCATGCCTTTCCGTCCCCCACTTCTGGCTTGGCTGGATGCAGGAATGCCTTGTCTCACCCCGGCAAAAAAGTATAGTGAGTGTTCATAGTCCTATAGTGTGTGTACGAGTGTGTGTTTGTGTGCGTGCATGTGAGTTAATTGTGCAGCTCTCCCTGTGTGTACTGAACAGGACTCAGCATAACAGCCTGAGTCAGTGGCGTGCCCCTGTGTAAGGATGTGAAAGTGTGTCACTGGGCTAGTTTGTGAGAGTCAAATGCTGTCCTACAGCTCCTCCAGGCTGCCAGCTGAGGTTTACAATGCTTAATTAAACACTTTATTTCAAGTGGTCCGTCATTGGATTTGCTCAAATGCAGTCTCTGGCCAGCCGCACATACATCATCATGGGCTGCTGGTTTAATGGCCCATGGAGTATTGTACAATTTGTGAGATGATTGCCAGTGTTAGCTCTTCTAATGGATGGCACTCGCTGTATCAGTTGAAACCTGTTCATCAAGGACTGAATGTGGATCCATCCTGAGAATTTATCAGCCAGAGACTATTTTCCGAGGTGTTTCCGGAGTCTTATCGAGGTATCTTTTCATTGTTTCATATTAATTTTTCATTCATCAGTTATTTGTGTGCACAGGTGCATAAAACAGTAAACTGCCATAAAAGGCAGCAGGGCCATTTGTGTATAGCTTCAGATTAAGTATGATGTCAATGTAGTATAACGCCTAAATATGAGCTGATTATTCACTTTGTTTTCTTTTACGCATTTATTCCCATGCCATAGAGGCTATGGAGTAAACCTGACAGAAACGTGTTTTCTATACACAAACAGCTACATCACAAGCAGAAGTAGGAAAAATTATTTTTGGGGTGACTCAAAGGATTTTATGCTTCAAACCTACAAATGAAAGTAATACATTCATCACTATTTAAATGTAAATACTAATAAAGTCCCTCAGTTTTCCTTCTCTTATTTTGTATGTTTTCCCTTACAAACCTTAACCCTTTATCAAACAAATCATGCTGCAAACCATTTTAGTGTTATCAAACAGTACTTTTAATGTGGTGGTTTAAAGTGATCAGGTTATAGTATGCATGAAAACACAGAGTGTGTGACTTCCTGCCCTCTTCCCTCATTTTTGGAGAGGGGGAGTCTTTCTGTGAGAGTTGTTATGATGGGGAGTGTAGTGTTACTGTTTGGGGGTTTGATGATGATGATATCTGAGCCACAGTGTTTGAAGTAATGTCCACTGAGGGGAAGTGGCCCACCAGACCACTGGTCAGATGACTTCCAGTATGCTGAGGATTAGAGCCAGTTGATGTGGCAGATGAGAGGGGATATGACGGCACAGTGACCAGCTCCCTCACTGCTCTAACTGTATTTTAGTGGAAATTGTTTGATGCTGAAGCTGGTTGTTATGGTTCAAAATTGCTATGAATTACAAATATATGTATACTTTTCCTAATTTTGTGGAGTTAATTCTTTCTTGTGTATCATTTGTTCATGCCATTGCATCTATGTGCACCTCTCTTTTTTTTTTAAATTTAATTAATTTAATTAAAAGCAGCCTATGAGCTAGAGCTAAATCTGGATTTGGAAAATTCAATCTAGTTAAAAATAAATAAAAACTATTTATACAGTATATATTTATACACCTTTTTATTATGCTTATAATGATTATCATTTCTCAGTACCTGGCACTGACTTTGATATATTAAGTAGGTTGTCGCCAAGTCCAACATAGGACTTTTAACTTCCTCTTTTGTACATTGTATTGATACATATTTAAAATGCAAATACAAAACAATACTAAACAGAAATATTTAGTCAACTGTCAGTGAATGGGAGACATTTCCAGAACTGATAAAGGGAAATGTTTGATAAGTTTTTAATTTGAAATTTTGTTTTAAATATAGCATCTTTTAAAAATAATCAAAAAAAGTTCAAAAGAGATGTTCACACATCCAACTATCTCAGACGCAGGTGCGTTAAGAAACTATCAATTCAGTCTTGAGAAAAGAAGATACCACACACTGGTCTTCCTCAACACTTTTGGTCCCTATGGACTTTCGTCAAGAGTGTTTTAAACAATCCTTACAATATTGATCTTAAATAGATAATGGTCCGCCTATTCTGTGTGCACAGGCGTGGGACAAGTCTCCTGTGGGAGTGTCTCAATAACTGACAGAGACGTGCACAATGTGTCACATTATATTCCATATATTAGAAAAAGAAAAGGAAAAACAGGAGGAAGTGAGACACGTGATAAAGTCTATTTAAAAGAATATTTACAGAAATTGCATATCTTTTGAATGGGGGAAATAAGTCATCATTCATTTGTGTAATCATATTCCCTACTTGTATCCAGAGTGTACCATATAGACCTATTTATGGTACACTCAAGAAACAAGTAGTCCATATGAATCTATGCAGTTTCTGTAAATATACTTTAAATGTTGTTGTGTCTCCCTTGTCCTGTTTTTTTTTTTTTTTTTTTTTTTGGTTCATTTTCTTATATTTGATATAATGTGACTGATTGTACACATGCTGCTGTCAAGTATTAAGCTCTCACAGAATAATTTCCCCAAACCTGTGCATACAGAACGGGCAGACCATTATCTATTTAATAATCAAAAGAAATTGATGGAGCTCTCTCAATGCCACAGGATAGCCAATACAACATACTCAAATTTAAATGCTAAAAATATTTGAAATAATTATGGTTTTATCGATTTCTCCAGAAGAAAACTGATAGTTTTCCTACATCATAATCGAAGAGTCATCGAAAATGATCATTTACAGCCTATCTTATTGTAGATTCACAAGACACTTCTTCAACTCTGTAGAGGAATCTTCTTAATAACCTTCCTGGAGTTTACAGCTGCATGTCTGGAAAAGGATACAATTATGTGCTTTCCCACAACTGCTGTGGCCTTTCAATAAACAGCATGACATGTCTGAAAGTCCAGATCTCATGTTTTGGCCACTTTATTACAGTCAAGTTTATTACTATACAAGGTATGTTTACTGAATCTGAATGAGAGTTTGCGTGAAGTTCAGTTAAACAGTGACCATTAGCCTTGGCTAAATTTGACAGACTTACAAAGGGTCATATTTAAATGTGTGCGTGCATGCTTGTGCAGGTGTGCGTGTGTTTGTGTGATGACATTTCCATGGAGGGCCAGGGCAAGGTTTATCAATCATAAACATGAGCCGGTGGATCCCATTACACTGCGGAGATGTCGGTGTTTACTCAGCAGTGTGAAGTGTAAAGAGAGACGGGAGGGCGGGTCAGACACATGTTTGCAGGCGTATCTCTCTCTGTGGACGCTTGCGCTAAAATATCCACATAACTCTTTGGTCTTTATTGTCAGAGTTTTTAATTCGTCAGCACTTCTTCCTGTTTATGTAACGATGAATAAAAGGTTTGGTATGCAAATCTTACTTAAGCATTGTTGTCTTCACAACAAATGGATTGACTGGCAAGAATCAGCCTGGAGGCTTAGTTTGAGGCAACATCCTACTCAATCCTTTTCCAAAGAAATTATTGGAATTCCTGGTACTTAACATGCCTAATTAGTAGAACAAGGGAATCTCAAAAAGGAGTTTTTTTTTTTTTGATTCTTCATTCCTTTCTTTCCATTCTCCTTTCTTTCTTTTAAGCTTCTTTTGAGTATAAATCCGTTTCAGGTAATGCTAGAAGATGCAGTAATATCTGGCGTTTATGACTGCCAGAAATACATTTAAAGCATTTAGCGGTTTCTGTTTGTCGTGGCTTTACACCAGTAGGGTGGCCTCGGATAGCTACGCTTGTCAGAAACCTTATCTCTCCCTCGTCACAGTATCTTTTCGTTCTCCCCTTCCATTCTCTGGCCAGACGCCCCCTGATTTTATTAATGCCCTCATCAGGAAGTGGGGCCTAGAGTTTCTCTTTACTAACAAACAAATTAGTCTTTGTATTTGAGTGGCTCCACCCCTCCTCCCTCTCGCTCCGGCTGCTGGAGAAGCTCGAAGAAAATTCTGAATGAAACAAAGAAGACATGCAGCTCGATTGCTCACAAGTGGAGCCCAGGGGCATTGGTGTTGATTGTAGAAAGCAAATACTATTTTCTACTGGAGTAATCGTTTCCGTTCTAAATTTAGAGAAGTGAAACTCCCTGACAGGAGCAGATATAGTCCATTCATACCCATAAACAATGCAGCTTCTATTTTTGGCAGGATAGTTTGAAGAAAGAACATCAAACATGGCCCTTTTTTTGTTTCTTCAGAAGTGGAGTTAATTTACTGGCTGGGACATTTTGAGAGCACATAAACATCATATGGCTGAAAATATGCCAGGGAGAGGTCACTTATTTCTACAACAATTTCCCCATTTTTGAAAGACTGGTGGCACAGTATTTATTTTTGCTACTAGAAACTGTTTAGCTCTTTGCTGTATCTTCTGTGCCATGGTAAGTGTTTTCACAAGGATCAAAGACTCCTACTGAAAACATGTTTGTCTCATTGGACGGGCACTGTGATAATGTTGCTCATGCTCAAAGCGACAGTGTCCTAAGCCTCTGTAAGAACATAACAGGTTTAACCAAAGAGCTCATATGTCAAGGCATTTCCTGTTCTGGCCGTTGGACCGTCTTTTATACAGTTCAAAATAACATGCAGCTTGATAGCTGCACAATGTGCCAATTCTGTAATTGTGCAAATCATATATTGTTTCATAGATGTTTAACAAGGGTGTTTTTATCTGTTAGATTTCACAGCACAATGTTTCAGCTACATTAGAGCAGTAACTCCCAAATAGGAGTACCCCAGGTGGCAACATTACTTCTGCAGTCACGTGGAGCTACGAGGAAAGATTGTGGAGTAGCTCAACTATTGAAATAAATAAAAAAAAAAGATATTATGATTTGATTTAAAAAATCGTATATCCACATGTTGAGTCAGCTTTAACACCTGAACACCATTGCGATTGAGTGTCCATGAAAACAAGTTAGAAAGCAAGTCTATAGTTTGCTAAAATTAATTGATAAATGGTTGCAATAGATAGCCAAAAGTAATGTCTAAAAGTTTAAGTTAGTTAGATAAAGGTAATGCAAAAATTGTGAAAAGGTTAAAAGTCAAAAAAAGTAAGTTAAAAGTAGTTAGCTAAAGGTAATTGTGTAATTGTGCAAAACTAAACATATTAGATAATGTTTAAAATAGTTTGCTAAAATGAATGGATAAATTGTTGAGTTCTTTAACTTGACGTAACACATTTTTGGTGGAAACGATAGATGGTTAAATAGTAGGCTAAAAGTAATGGATAACTTGTTAAAACTTCTACCGCTCCAAGTGGTACAAATGCGAGCTTGACAATTGCATGAAAAAATTATTGTGACAATATTAACTTTTAAATCACTAATAGTGTAAAATAACCATCCATCCATCCATTGCATTTGGAACATAATTGATGGTGTCGATAAAGTAGCACTTGCGCTTTTGGGCTGTGAAGGTACATCAGACAAATAGGGTTACGGAACCACTGCAGTTGAACACAATAACATTATGAGAATACCATCTACTATTAATTCCCAGGTGTAGTAATTCATAGGCACGATTAGAGGGAGAGTTGATTGTCATCAATAATAAATGGGATCTTTGTTGTTGTGTGTGTGTGTGTGTGTGTGTGTGTGTGTGTGTGTGTGTGTGTGTGTGTGTGTGTGTGTGGTGTTGGAGAATGCTCCAAGCACTGTGGTTTCAAGTGTTGTTTGCCGAGCACAGAGGAATGGCTTATTCAAATGCCAGGGTTATTTGAGGCGACAGGCAACATTTTACAGAGAAATGCAAGGTTTTGCATCTGATGTGATGGATACAGAAGGTGTATCAAAATGTTAACTTGTGAACCTCAACGTGAAACTAAATAACAATTTCCCCAGTCAACTCCATTAAAAATGTCTTCACCTCAGCTGACCCTGGTGATAATATCTCTCCCAGAAATGGCTGCCTGAGAGAACACTCAAGCAAACATGAACTTCTTTTGTACAATGTAGAAACATGGTGTCCTAGCACTGCACACGCCGTCCTTTTCAGAGCCCTGCATTGTTTGTATATATGACATGTTGCCAGCAAAGTACCAGCCTTACCACCTTGACAAACAGGATTAAATGTTTCAAGACGATTATTATAATTAAAATCCTATGGCAAAGGAAATCTACAGCTGATTTATATTTAGCATTGCTAGATTCCTTACCAAACACTCCGGTTACATTAATTTCTAAAACAAAAGAAAATCTTAATACCCTATTCTACATGAGTATAAAGATGCATCTTCATGTGTCGTCTCTCTGTGTCTTCCAGTCTGTGGTCCGAGTATCGACATCCGAAATGAGATCAGTGAGTTCAAGCGGCTGGAGAACTGTACGGTGGTGGAGGGCTACTTGCAGATCCTCCTCATCAACGACAAGACCAACAACATCCACCAGGAGGCCTTCCGCACCCTGAGCTTCCCAAAGCTGACGGTCATCACTGACTACCTGCTGCTGTTTCGCGTCTCGGGCCTGGACAGCCTCAGCATTCTCTTCCCCAACCTGAATGTCATTCGGGGGCGCAAACTCTTCTACAACTACGCCTTGGTGATCTACGAAATGACCAGCCTGAAGGACATCGGCCTGTACAACCTGAGGAACATCACCCGGGGAGCCATGCGGATTGAAAAGAACCCTGAGCTCTGTTACCTGGACTCAGTGGACTGGTCTCTTATTATGGATGGTGAATTCAACAACATTATCAATGGGAATAAGAAGGCAAAGGAATGTGACAATGTGTGCCCTGGCATCATGGAGGATAACCCTCTTTGTCAGAGGACGTCGTTCAGTGACAACTACATAGATCGCTGTTGGACCTCCAACAAGTGCCAGAAAGGTAACCTGAATTCTGTTTTATTTCATTCTTTAACCCAGCAGATAATGTTGAGAAAGAATAAATCAGTGGATGCTTTAACTATGATGATTGCTAATTACATTTAATAGCGGTAGTGGGCGTTATTTTGTGATACAAGTACTGTAAATGCAGATGTCACTTTGATCTAGGTAGGTGGTTTCCAATCTTGTAAACATTCTAAAATTTGTGCATTTTTTCACCAGCGAACAAATCCCATGAATCTATGCAGTGTTTTTCCTTCATTTCCGTCAGGCTCCAGGATTGTCCACGGGCCAGTGCAAACATTTCCTCTGTTCATTATAGAGACCTTGTCTTTAGATCAGGCTATTTGTGGAGTGAAGGATGGCTGCAGTATAGAGCACCAGGTATGAGAAAGGCTTACTCAGTTGAGGTTAAAGTTGGTCTGCCAAGAAATGAGCTAGTCTACCTGTCTGGACCATGTCAGTTAAATATTTGCCTTAGGGACTTTTTGCAATTTATGAAAAGGGGTATATTGAAGTATCTGGGGGAGGGTCATCCTTGTTTAACTTCGGCCCCTTGGTAGGGTCATGCATTTTTTAAAACAGTTCAGAGGTGGGTCATATCAGACATTTTAAGGTTTGTAGGTTAGAATTAACACGGTTGTGTGTATTTTTCGCCTGTTTTCAGCTTGTCTCAGTCATTCACACAGCTTTCAAGGAGTATAGCAACTTGCTGCAACATTACATATCTACACTCCTCTTTTTCTCAGATTTTAGAGTGAGAGACAGCTTGTGCTTTTTGATTAGAAACTGGGACAACCAGGTCAGCTGTCTCATGCCTCTTCAAAACTACTGCAGAAGGCAGCTCAAGCCTATGTAATGTAGCCTGTTAGACACAGACAGACTAAGCTGAGATGTTGATGAGGCTTCTGGTAGATATGTTGTGTTTGTCTGTCTGTCTTTCTGACATGAAATCCTTAGGCGATCTGCTTTATTTTTAAACTTTACTCAGAGGGTGCAGAGGGCAGGGTCATGAAACATTTTTCATGCTGCAGGCAGGCTCACACATATTATTCTTCAAATACAAAAGGTTCATTGAGATTTTTTATCAGAGGTTTAAATTCCATCACAGACTGCACTTAAAAAAATAACGCCGTAATAATGCTGTATTGCAACAATTAAAATTCAGAAAAGGCTATTAACATCTTCACACACAAACACAAAAACACTTGAGCTCAGTTAACATGTCTTTAAAATAATTAAAGTGCATTAATGGTGCCGTTGTTTCATTATGTGTCTGTATCAAAAGTGCCAAAACTCAAATTCTAAATGTGATTGATTTGTTTAGAAATTGTTACTGACGCTTTTAGTCGCTCATACCAAAATGTAGGACAAGTCATGGCCTTCCATCTTTTCACTGCTGTGCTTTGATAGATCGCAGATACAGATGTTGTTTATGTGCAGCTGAGAGGGTGATGTCAATGCCACAGCTTCGGCATTTTTATTTGCTTATTTTGCATAGACTTACACTGGTGCTTGAGAGAGACTGACCTCTTGTATATTCCTACCTCTGGAGTCTGGATATACATGCCGTAGTGGAGTAAATAAAATATATACAGATACATGTTTGCCTTGGTGAAAAGGATTGTGTCAAACTTGACTCCTGAGTTTGCATAGAAAACATGTTTCAGTCTCCTGCTCTATGCCTTTTTCTCTGTCCTCTTATCTGTGTGAAATAATGGTGGGAAAATGTTCCTCCAGCCTTTTTTCTATTGAAGACCTGTGTGCAGCTCCCATGGTCAGTTGGGAGTCTTAAACACCACCCTCCTTCACCCCCGGGGACCCTCAGAACAAATAGTGGAAATCAAGCTTGCGTCCTTTCCCTAGTGACCACGTCTGTCTCTATAGAAAAGCTATGGTGTTTATTGTTGTGTCTCTGTTCATTCTTGGATGCATTGACCTGCAGGAGCTCCCCCGCACGTCGTTATCGATTGCTTGATACATATACAGTTGTAGTGATATGCAGCTGTGTGAATTAAAAAAAAAAAGTTTTGTTTTTCAAAAAATGAACTTTCCAAGATTTGGTTTATTTACAAAATGCTACACTGTGAAAGTGCAATCTCCTGTGATCACCTCCAAGTCACGTCTGTTCTGCCCACAGTAGATACTATGCAGTGTGTTGCGGTGAAACCCTCTGTTGTTCTCACATGTCGGACTTGAGAGGCCGAGCAGGATTATTGTTTGAACCAGTTCACTTCTCTCTGAGGCCCAGGCCGAGGTCAGGGTAAATGCATTCATCTAGTGGGCCTTGAGGTCTCAAGGCTGCAGATAAAGGCTTCGGGGAGCTACACAGTAGAAAGAAAGGAGGGGTTGTTGAAGCAATAATAGGACAGACTGAAGCTAAAGCAGGTCTGTGAGATCTGTTAATAGTACCAGGCTTCATGCACACATTTCCCACCCTGTCTTTGTTTTTTTAAAAGCTTGATGTGTCTACCTCTCTCCTTTCTGCTTAAGATTCCTCTCTCCTCCCTCCACCCCTCTGCATAATTGCCTTGTTTTTCTCCAGTACAGATGTTCCTTCAAGGGCATTCAGTGGTTTTCTAGTCAATACGGCCTGGTCTCCTCTTTAATTACACTACATGAGGAGGGAGTGCTGTCTGCCTAGCACATACTTTAACCTCTGGGCCTTTTAGTGCGTCATGGAGCAACAACAAAACCTTTCCATGTGCTTGTCACCTACCAGATACTGTTTGGTGTGTTTTAGATGAGCCTCCTGAGGTGAGGTAAATGTACATATATATGATGCTGGGCAGAACAAGCCAGGTTAATAAATGAGTGGGAGAGACCGGGTAGGGAGCAGAGGTTCTGGGTGCTTTTTAGTGGCAGGCAGCGATGCGTAGAGAGGCCCTGACTGAGGAGCCGTACGCAGGAGGAGGGGCACTGAGGGGAAATGTCAGACAAATGTCAAGTATACAAGCTGAACAGCAAGCTCTCGCTAAGGCGCAGTGCTCGAAGGATTGAAAAATGCCTTTCACTCCCCTTGCTTTTTGTCCCGCCTCCTCCTCCTTCAACCCCCCATGCTTCCTCGTAAATCCTCCCTGCCTTCCCTGCCGCTGCATTCCCCTCCTCGTACTGAGGAGTCTGTCTGTTTCTTCCTCGCTAATGTTTTCCACTTCACTTGGCCACAGCCTGGATCTCATCTCTGATTGTCCTTGTCAGTTGATCTACTGGTGTTTCCTCCTCTATTTTCACCTCCCTTTTTTTCTGCAGGGTTTATCAGGGGCTGTTAACAGCTCTGGCTGTCAGATATCTCCACACTGTTTACTCGTCAGAGATATTCTCTCATCACTGCAGTGGTCACAGCCAACCGGCTTGTCTGGGGATCTGGCCTTGGATCCTCTTGATATATCACGCAGTATGCCTTGAGTTTTGGGAGATCCCGTGACTAAAAAGTGTCTGGCCTGCTTCAAATAGCCTCCTCAAGTCTCTGTTTGCTACAGACATGCCTACCTTCTACCCCTGGAGCTGTGCCAAGCCAGATAGACAATAGGTTAATATAAATTAGGCAGACAAGCAGGAAAGCATGCTTCTGTGTTCATGTCGAGTCTCAGGGCAGGTTAGTCCTCATAGTTCCACAGGGAGGCACACACTCTTATACTCACTAGTCCTTACATAGCTCACATGTATCCTTTATGTGGTAGAATATTAACTTACAGTAAGCTCAGCCTCGCAGGCACTCTGGTGTGTTTTTTTAATCCTTACGTCCTTATGCTGTCTGATTTTAAGGAACACCCTGTCCTGAATGTTGTATTTTGACATTGATAGACAAATGTCAAGTCTTCCTGTGAATGTTTAATGAATCGAAATGTGCCACAGTGTCTTTTAGAGAAAGCAAAACTGTGGTGGTGTGGTGTCAAATAGGGTCAGTTTGCATTTTAGCCTGTTATGCTACATAGAGTGTGTGTCCTTGTACTGAACCCAGAAGAAAGAAATGCAGCAGAGCGAGAGTATGTTAGAGCCCTGGCAGTTGGGAGAGCTTTCTACTGGCCCAAGAGACTTTTGCATTTGATAATATGTTTACTCCCTCCTTGCCAGAGACCCACTTCATATCTCTGGTCTGAGTGCTCTGACCTAAGCCCACTTCACAGCAGGGGAAAACACACTCTTTTAGAGGATGCAACGGTAGGGTAAGCAGGTTCAGATGGGCAGAAAAATCTTATACTGCAACTGTCTCTTTCTTTTTTTCTTTCTTTCTTTCTTTCTTTTTTTTTTTAGCAATTTCCACAGTTTGATATCTTTTAATTGAATTTGAGGGATATGGCGGGCAATATTTTTTATTTTTCTTATTGGCAACAAATCCCATGAAAGCACCAAAATCAACAATGTCTCCCAATGATTTCTGACTACCTGCAGCCCAAAGCCCATTGGTTTGTACTAATATTCCTAGGCTACTCAAACAAGAGGAAATGGTGAAATTGTTGGGGACTATTTTCAGCTGCGGATTCGGCGCACTAGCACGTAACCAGAACAGTGCATGTGGGATCAGCTTATCTTTTAAAAATAGCACAATTACATGCCAACTAACTGTTAACAGATATTTTCTTTATTTCTGTTTTCCTTTGGTTGATTTTCTGACTCTCATTGCTAATTTATTTAATGCAAAAGTTATTGACAAGAAAAATACAAATAAGTCAGATATAAAACAGAATGCAAATCCTCCTTAACCCTCTGGGGCTTTTGTAAATGGATTTCTGGAACTACCACATAGCTCATACTTCTTGTTGTCAAGATTAGGTACAGAAATGACGCTCTATTTCGGCTGGCTAAAAGCTAGATTTATTGGTACTTTAGGTATAAGCCATGTATGTTAGGTTGGGTAGAATGAGTCTTTCCCTTTAAGTATATAAGGTAGAAATTCCTCCTGGCTTAGTCATTGCAGTTGTGAGGGGATAAAGGGGGGGAAACACATAGCACAGTCTGTATGTGCAGACTACATGTGAAGGGCCATATGGAGACTAGTTG